ACTTCTGTTGTTGTTATTGTTATCTGACCTATCACGGGGTTGTCTCCCTCAGTGCAGTTCAACGTGTCCTTAAAAGGCTGTAACGTAAATACAGTATTTTTATTTTGAACTAGATTATATAGATGTACAACTTCTTACTGGCATTTCAAAAATAAAAATAAAAAACGCCCTCCAAAACCCAAAGTTTCTTAAAGAAATGTTTGGTGACAAAATCTGGTCTGACCTGAATTCATTGGGCCTCCAAACCTAACCTGTGGACTGGAGGTTGAACTGTGAATGTTTTAGTATGTGTCGTCCCTGGCCCCCTGGTGGTTCTACGTTACCTCGCACAGTATGTGTTGTATTAACCTTTCTGATCCAGGAAATGATTCTGAATCCTGAAGCACTTCTGGCCCTGAAGGTTTCTGATAAGGAACTCTGATCCTTTAATTTTGCAGTATTTTAAAGAACCTACCGCTCCTAGCTCTTCCCACTAGTCTTTGTACGTAACGCTCGCTGTAATCAATACTGACAGCAGTGGGCACCAGGTGTTGCTTGTAGCCTGTGTGTGCCTAGCACTTTGTATGCTCTTTTAAGATTAAATAATTCTAAATGGAAGATACTGTTATCTCCACTTGTAAACTGAAGTTTAGAATCATTAAGTAACTTGACAGTGTCACATAGCATATAAATACTTTCAATTTACAGACTTTCAATTTACAGCCAAGCCTGTCTTACTCAAAAGCTCTTCCACCCTTCCATACTAGAATACTCAGGTACACCAGCCACACCTCTTCAGAATTATAAATTCTGGTTCTTTTGTTGATTCGTGGAGAAAGGAATTGAGCTCTTTAGTTAGCAAGTTTGGAATAAATACACCAGCCACTCCTCACCAAGAAGATTGGACAGTCTACTTCTGTAGAGATACTGCTTCAGAAACCTGAGGAGGGCTTGCCATGAGCTGGGATCGAGTCGATGGCAGTGTTTGTTTCTTTTGGTATGTTCAGTATGTATCTGAAAAGGCTTTGTGATGAATATTAAAAAAAAATTAATAATGTGTTATTGAACTTAATTCAAATGGTCTCTGTGTACTAAATTATTGTAGAGTATACGTTTGACTTTAAATTTTGAGAAGAGCTAACATACAACTCCAAAATGAATTGGAAAGCCTAACTCATATTCTAGGAGCTCTGGTGGCATAGTGCCTAAGGCATTTGACTGCTTACCAGAAGGTTGGCAGTTCAGAACCCACCAGCCACTCCATAGAAGGAAGATTGGGCAATCTACTTCCATAGAGGTACTGCCTCAGAAATCCAAGGAGGGGTCGCTATGAGTCAGAACTGACTCAATGGCAGTGGGTTTGGTGTTCTTGGTTTAATTCATATTCTAGAAGGAAAAACCATAGCTCTAGCCTTGATCCCTACCAAAAAACCCAAACCCACTGCCATAATGATCCTGTAGGACAGAGTGGAACTGCCATATAGAGTTCCCAAGGCTGTAAATCTTTACGAAAGCAGGTTGCCTTATCTTGCTCCTGAGGAACAGCTGGTGAGTTCTAACCACCGACATTTCAGTACACATACGAGCACCTTAACCATTGCACCACCAGGGCTCCTTGCCTTGACCCAACCCCCTAAAAAGTGTATCTTATAAATGTCTTTGAAGTTTTCCCCAAGCTCTTTAGATTTGTCAGGAGATGACACTGTCTAAATAATAATGATATGTTTCATTAGCAACAATTTTATAATCATTAAAATCTAGTAATTAAAATCACAAATCTAGTAATGAATAATCATGTAGGCAGTAATCTATCACAGCTCTTTCCCCAAAATAGCAGTTGATGTTCATTAACTTTTAAGCTTTTGCTTCTCCCCTTAGGAATAAACTTTATTACTTTTTTAGAAAAATGACTGCTAATCATAATAAAAATGTTCTTAACTCTTTTGGCATCAGATTTGAAACAAAGTTGTAATGCATTCAGTATAAATTATAATGTATTCATTGCAAAGTCTTTCTATAAGATCTCCGTGTTGGGAATCTTAATAACACAGTGAGCCTAGGGCAAAAGTCAGGAACACCTAATGTGGTTGTTAGCAATTGTTGTGTCTTGTCATGGTTGGTTCTGAGTAGGTTGATTTAATTAACCAGTATGTTCCATAGTGCCTTGTGTATGTGGGTGTCCTTTACGCAGATGACACACAAAATTATATTGGAGGCCATTGAAAATCTTATGAGAAAATATTAGTCAATTTCAGTGACAATTTTGTGTCTTAAAAAGGAAGCATTATTTCTTGCTTATGTAACAGAAAATTGAAAATTGGGAGAATAAAATGATACTGTTTTCAGCTTTGGTATCAATTACTGTCAGTCTCAGTTGTCCATTGAATAAATTCAGTCTGCAATTAAATTTGATCATAGACTTATTTTCAACTTTTTACTCATGTAAATAATGTTTAACAAATATTTATATATGTTTATTTTAAGCATGATGTCGATTATTTCCAAACTATTAACTCTTAGGAGTAGATTGGCTAGGTTAGAAGAAACATACATTTTTAAGGCTTGTAGGACATGGTGTACATTCATTCTTTTTACTCCTAGCAACAATGACAGTGCCATGTCCTCATGCTTTCACAAACATTTATTATGTTTAGCATTGATCAGTATTAGGATTTACAGCTTGGGTCATGTTGTCAGAAGGGCCCATTCCCTGGAGAAGGATATGCTGGGTGAAGTGGAGGGTCAGTGAAAAAGGGAAAGACCCCCACCAGGTGGGCTGACACAGTGCCTGCGACGAGGGCTCAGGTACAGCAAAGACTGTAAGGGTGGTACACAACCAGGCAGTGTGTCCTTCTGTTGCACACTGGGTCACTAGGAGGTGGAGCCGACTCAGCAGCACCTAATAACAACAACACAACATAGTGTTTATCAGAAGGTTGTCAATTGAAACCCACCAGCTGCTCCAGAGGAGGAAGATGGGGCAACCTACTTCTGTAAAGATTTACAGCCTTGGAAACCCTGTGGGGGTTTCTATGAGTCAGAATCAACTGGATGGCAGTGGGATTTTTTTGGCTGTAATGTTTATATTAGTATAATTGATAAATATTTTATATTTGCATGTATATATATGTATACATACACACATACACATCTATATAGTTTGTGTATATGTATGTGTGTACGTTATTTTTTAAAACAAATTAGATATATATAAAATGTTACCTCATAATTTTCATTGAATCTTTTATTATAAGGTTAAATCTCTTTAAATTGTTACTTAGAATTTTGTAAATTGCCTTGTTACTATAGTCACCTATATTTTATTTAAAGAGCTTTCCCATTTCTTTTTAGTTTAAATCACCAATGAAAAGACAGTATTATCCTCTGTCATACATTGCAAATTTTTTTTTCCCTATGCTTTAAGAAGGAGCTCTGGTAGCATAGTGCCTAAGGCACTTGACTGCTAACCAGAAGGCTGGCGGTTCAAACCCACCAGCCACTCCTCGGAAGGAAGGTTGGGCAATCCTACTTCCGTAATGATACTGCCTCGGAAACCCAAGGAGGGGTCGCTATGAGTCGGGGGCGACTCGACGGCAAACAACTACAACAACAACAATGCTTTAAGAAGTGATAGGTTGAACAAACAAACAAACAAAAGACTCACTGCCATCGAGTCGGATCCAACTCATAGCGACCCCTCCTTGGGTTTCTGAGGTGGTATCACTACGGAAGTAGATTGCCCAGTCTTCCTTCCAAGGGACTGGCTGGTTGGTTTGAACAGCCAGGCTTCTGATTAGTAGTCAAATGCTTTAGGCACTATGCCATCAGAGCTCCCAGTTTTAGAAGTGATAAGTTTAGAAAAGAAAAATTGGCTGCTTATGTAATTTTAAATTCAGAACTACCAGCCGCTCCACAGGAAGCTGTGGAAGTCTGCTTCCATAAGAGTTATAGCCTTGGAAACCCTACAGGGCAGTTCTCATGTGTCCTGCAGGGTGCTGTGAGTCAGCCTCCACTTGATGGCACCCAGCAGCAACATGATTGGGATGGGAGTGGTAACTTGTTGTCTCCCTCTGTTAGGTTTTCTTTCTACCCTTGAGCAATACCATCCTCAGCTGTTTTAAAGATAACTCCATCTTCGCCTGGGAATGTGATACTCTTTCCTGCAAGTACCAATTACCAGCTCCACCGGAAAGCTCTAGTGTATTATACAGAGTGTTTGCTGTGACCAGGTAATGTGCACTTTAGAACACTAAGAATGTTCGAGAGCTTTAACTTGTGAAATTTTACAGATTTTTATTTGCTAGCTTATTGTCACATGAAAGAAAGCACCCTTCTAATTTAGATGTGCTCTGCAGAACCTTATTTTTTCTTTTAACTCTACTGTGGAAAACTTCAAGTACGAACACAGGGAGAACACAGTGTTTTTGTCTGTTGTCATTGCTGGTACCCTAATCCCAACTCCCTTTTGGACCATTGTCTTAGCCTCTGAGTTGGTTTCCCTGTTTTCAGTCTCATTTCCTAGAGTGAATGAACTGGTCTTTTAAAATCATTCACTTAGAACCTGTTCCTTCCCTATTTAAAACCCTTCAGAGGCTTTCCATTGCACTTTGCGTGAAGTTCGCACTGCCCACCGTGTCCTGGGACATGGGTAGATACACTGCTTGGAGCAATCAAGCATGGGAGAACAGAAGGGCAGTGTTTGCACAGAGAGACAGCTTGTGGGGTGGGAGTACATGGAAGCGAAGGACACAGGGAAGAGGTAACTACGGGGACGAAGTGGGAAGAGAGCTGTTACATTGTGGGAAATTGCAGTCAATGTCGTGAGACAAAATGTGTATGAACTGGTGAATGGAAAATGAATTTGCCCTGTCAACTTTTACCCAAATAACAATAAAAATTTTTGGCAGTGGCAGTAGCCACATTTCAAGTGCTCACTTCATGACACGTGGCTCATGGCTACCCTATTGGGCAGTGTGGATTCAGAACATTGCTGGCATCACAGGGAGTTCTGTTGGACAGCACTGCTGTAAACGGTCTGCCTAGTCTTCCTTTCCTTTCTGTTATGTAGAGATGGGCGAATCCTAGCTGCTGCAGGCAAATCCAGTCATCTTCATCTGTGGTGCTTGGAGGCTAAACAGCTATTTAGAGTTATCCAAATGCCTCCTAAAGTCCGAGCCATCCGCCAGGTCGAGTTTCTTCCTGATAGCTTTGATGCTGGTTCTAATCAGGTGAGTAAGAGCAGTGTGGGGCGTTGTACTTCTGGAGAAGGATCTCATCAGGTTCTACAGTGTCCTAGCTCTTATTTAACTGATACCCTGACTGTTACAAGAATGTGAAATTACTAGTGATATGTTATTTTTGTGAAGAACCTGGAATAGGAAAAAAAGTGTCAAAATCTTATATTGTGTATATTACTGACAAGTTACCCTTTTAATAAAATCGATATACCTTCAGTGTATATCATAGTTTATGGTTTATAAGGAGCTCTGGTGGCATAGTGATTTAACCATTTGGCTGCTAAGCAGAAGGTCAGTGGTTTGAATCCACTAGCCACTCTATGGGAGAAGGATGAGGCAGTCTGCTTCCATAAAGATTTACAGCCTTGGAAACCCAGTGAACAGTTCTACTCTGTCCTATAGGGTTGCCATGAATCAGAATGGACTCAGTGGCAGAGTGTTGTTTTTTTTCCCCCTATGATTTTCATGCTTAACATGTTATTTTTCATTTGAGCCTTAGAATTTCTTGGAGATCGGCAGGGAAAGTATTCTCCCCACTTTTCTGACTTACAACACTAAAGATTAACCATATTCAGTGATCCATCAACATCCCTGTTCATTATAAGGAATAAAGGTGAAATGAGAGCTAAAGTTTTCTCACTTTGTTCCATTGTGTTTTTCCTACCACTCCTATGAAAAATGTTTCCTTTGTATCTTAGTTTATAAAAAAGGAGCCCTGGTGGAGCAGTGGTTAAACGTTCAACTGCTAACCAAAAGGTTGGCAGTTCAAACCTACCAGCTGCTTTGCAGGAGAAAGATGTGGCAGTCTGCTTCAGTAAAAGTTACGGTCTTGGACTCCCTAGGGGACCGTTCTCCTCTGTCCCATAGGGTCGCTGTGAGTTGAAATCGACTTGAAGGCCACAGTTGAGGTTTTGTTTGGTTTAGTTTACAAAGTGCTTCCTTCTGCCACCACCCCTCTCCTTCCTCTGCTCTTCTTTTTCCTCTTTTCTCTTTCAGAAGTGGGTACGTTCCCACCTTAACTTGCTTATTTTAAAGTGTTTTTGTTGTTAGGTGCCGTCCTGTCAGCCCCAGCTCACCCTGTCCAGGAGAACGCAGCATAACCCAGTCCCGGGCCATCCTCACAGTCATGGCTGTGTTTGAGCATCGCTGCAGCAACTGTGTCAACCCATGCCATCGAGGGTCTTCCTCTTTTTCACATTGACGATCATGGGTGTCACACTGCAACACATTATTATACGTATATTATGTACATTTGTATGCGTGTGTATGCATCACATCTTTTTAAGTTTTTTGAGTAAGGAACATTGACATGCTTAAAAAACAAAAAAATGAAAAGCTCCCAGTGAGAAGCCCCTCCTGTCTCCCATAACCTCCCCTGTTATGTATAGTTTCATGCGACTTTGCACCTTGCTTTTCTTCATTTAATTTTTCTTGAAGACTCCCTATCAGTACAGAGCTGTGTTGTTTTTCACAGCTACATGTTGTTTAGAAGCTTTTTAAACCAGTCTCAGTTATTGAGCACTCAAGTGGTTTTTTTGTCCCTTTCTTTTACAAGCAAGGCCACATGGAATCACTTTTCACGCTTTTCATTGCACAGGTCTGATCTGTGAAGAGAATATTGCAGAGCTGAAATAGTGGCATAAGCATAGTTATTTGTGTCTGTAATTCTGGTCAGTTTTGCCAAATGGTCCTTCAGAAGGTTGGCACCAACTGCAAATGAGAGGGTTTGTTTCCTACCAAAGAAAATTTGGTTTACAGGTGTTCTCTTCCAAACAAGTGACATCACTGTTTTAAGCAGTCACATAGTGGTGGCACTGTGTACTGACCACCAGCACTGGAAAAAGATCCTGTGTGTAGAGAGA